TTCATTTGGAAGTCAATAACTGCATAAAACAATAAAAGAACAATAATTGAACACAACAATAACAGAATTAAAAAAATATTTCGAAACAAGTCTTTCAAGTATTGAAAACAGTCTGTCCATTCTCTCCCTGCTCTCATGTGCTCTTCTCTCCTCTGCTTCTCTCTGCTGTCTCATGTCCTCTCTCTGCTGTCTCATGTCCTCTCNCTCTCTGCTGTCTCATGTCCTCTCTGCTGTCTCATGTCCTCTCTCTGCTGTCTCATGTCCTCTCTCTGCTGTCTCATGTCCTCTCTCTGCTGCCTCCTGTCCTCTCTCTGCTGCCTCCTGTCCTCTCTCTGCTGTCTCATGTCCTCTCTCTGCTGTCTCAATCACGATCTTTCTGAGACAAATATTATTTTAAAACATATTTATGCAAAGGACTAAAGCCTAAAAATACAGCCGCTTTTTATTTTTTTACCGGCAGATTTTAATATACTTACATTTAAAACTGTACTCCTCCATCGCTTCGACTCTCGCTTCATCCGCCATTACAAGAAAAAAAGAATCTCTGGGGTCGGGCCGCAATGCATTATGGGATATGCTGGGTCGGGAAGGATTCATCAGACCTGTCCTTCAAATCTGGGAAAAGGAAGGACGTATTTGTCGGCCGCATCGGAGGAGTCTTCGGTTTTGGACGGCCTTCGTCGCGGCGCTGTGACGTATGCGGCCGACGAATTCGATCTTTGGAGGACCCAGCCTACCGTTTTGGACACACCCATTGTCTCAGAAAATTCTATTATATAGACATGTGCTAGCCTTCTGTAACATGAAGGCTGACTAAAGTTGGAAAAAAAGAGCGCACGAAACACTTAATTTGGTTTAAAATACAGACATTCTGACAAATAAGTATCTGTAACCTTACCTCAGCTTAGATGGCAGAGGGTGTTGGTCTTTTCTGCTCAGGTTCATCTATCGAAGCATGAAGCTAATGTTTACTCACAATGCTAATGCTACCATTACTCTCTGGTGCTCAAGAGGTAGAGGAGCCAAATGGCTGACTCACTGCTGCCAACTAAAGGTCAGAGGCTGAACTACAACATAAAAATGAACGGCTGGCAGGAAAGTTGACATTTTAAACCTTAATTAAATATCGATACAGGGCTTTAGAATATCGATACAGTATCGGAAAATGAAATATCGCGATATTTCAGTGTATCGATATTTTCTTACACCCCTAGTATTTTGAGTGTACAGACAGTGTTAAAACATATATTTTAACTATCACTATAAAGCGCATATTTCTGACGTAATATAAAATAAACAACACAGAATAAAGCCGCGTTTGTTTACATGCAAGAGTAGCAACGTTAGTGGTTAGCTCGGACAAGCATGCTAATACGCTACATACATTAGACAGATATAAAAGGGAAAATACTCGTTTTATTTACAGTTTCAGTTTTCGTCTCAGTAACATAACATCTCAAATATAATAACTTAAATAAAAATTAAAGAGAAATGTTTAAATACATCAGGTCATTTCATTGACATTTTTTGTTGTATTTTTGATGATAGATTTGTCTCTTAGTGAATAAAATGATGTTTGTTGACTTGGACCAGTTCTGATCCACAGAACATGAAGCAACAACACAAGTGATGTATGAGTGAATATAAAGTTGTATTTCTCCATATTGTCTGTGTTTCAGTGNAGAAAGAAGAAACATGTAGAGTCACACAGAGAAGTCCAGACACAACCCAAACCATTTAGTTGTGATGAATGTGGTAAAAGATTTACCAGAAAATCAGATTTAAACTCACACATGAGAGTCCACACAGGAGAGAAACCGTTTGTATGTGAGCTATGTGGACATAGATTTAGCCAGAAGCGTATTTTAAACTCACACATGAAAGTCCACACAGGAGAGAAACGATTTTTATGTGAGGACTGTGGACATAGATTTAGAGACAAGGGTATGTTAAACAGACACATGACCATCCACACAGGACTGAAACCGTTTCTATGTGAAGACTGTGGAAAAAGATTTAGATGTAAGTTTACTTTAAACTCGCACATGAGAGTCCACACAGGACAGAAACAATTTGTATGTAAGGACTGTGGACATGGATTTAGCCAGAAGGGTAATTTAAACTCCTACATGAAAATCCACACAGGACAGAAACCATTTGAATGTAAGGACTGTGGACATAGATTTAGCCGGAAGGGTAATTTAATCTCTCACATGAAAATCCACACGGGAGAGAAACCATTTGTATGTCTGGACTGTGGACATAGATTTAGCCAGAAGAGTGGTTTAAACTCTCACATGGTAGTCCACACAGGAGAGAAACCATTTGTATGTGAGGACTGTGGACATAGATTTACCCAGAAGAGTAGTTTAAACGTTCACATGAGAGTCCACACAGGACAGAGACCATTTGTATGTAAGGACTGTGGACATAGATTTAGCCAGAAGAGTAGGTTAAACTCTCACTTGAGAGTCCACACTGGATAGACACCAGGGGTGGGCTGGGTTTAAAAGGCTTGGTCTAGAGAGGCTTTTTATCTAATCGCACAACAGATGCAAGCAGAAACATAATTTGAACACTGATGCAT